CATGCCCACAGGCTGTTAGGTGACTCAAATGATCTCCTACATCCAGCTACAGAAAAACCTGTTCCCGTTATCTGGGGGAGTAACTGTAGCCCAAGGGTGACGTAGATGGGCAGGGCACTGGAAAGGCTAAGGAATTCAGAGCTGAACTATCGCTGTTTTACTAAGATGGGGAGCTCTCAGGAAAGGAGCGTGGATAAAGCCTGTGCGCAAGCCTGGGGCGAGGCTGTGAGACACTGCTGTGTGATCCCAGCCAGCCAAGGCTGGTTTTCCTTGGAGAAAACGCTGGTGAGATTTTTTCACAAGTTGTTACGTAGCCAGGAAGTCATCCCAAAGCAAACAGGCCTTTGCAGAAGCTGAGTTCAGGCAGGCTCCAGCAAATTCGATGCCTTGAGGTGGGACGAGCACTGACGCTGGAAAAACACAAGGCAGCAAAGAKTTCTAGCGCTGTTTGAGGGAGGAGGGGGAGGACAGCATTCCAGCAACACTCAGCAGATCTCAGCACAGACACTCCTTTTTCTTCAAGATAAACCACCGAAATTGCTTAACCTTCATGCAGACTTGCAGAGCTTTGGAAGAGGAAGGTGCAGCACTGGTAGGGCTGAGGACACAGGGCTCGGTGTGAGTGTGAGCCCTGCCCGAAGCAGGAGGAGCTGCGAGGGCCCCAGCAGCCCYGACCTGCTCACRGCAGCAGCCAAGGCTGCTCCAAGGCCRGGCAGGCTCCTCAGCTCCTCCGTTTCAGCGCCTCAGTGTCACTCACCTGCCCCTTGCAGGTTACAGAAAACAAGGAGCAGTGYCCTTCTGTCAACTGCTTTCATCAAATGCCATTTTCTTTCCCTGAAAATTAAGCAATCTCACTCTGCCACCGTAATCACGAGAAGTAATACTGAGGCTCTGGCTATCTGCATTTGCAGGGCRAGGGTGCTCAGTACCGGCTTCCCTGCAATGAAGTAAAGGTTTCCCTTCCTCACAAGATGCACCGCACACGTGGCAGCGAGAACACGAGCATCACCACCTACTTCCTGAGGAACAGCCCGGAGACTAGAAGGAGAAAACRTCTCCTGCAGAATTGCATATAGCTCCCCCCCAACCTTTAGTAAATCCCTTTACATGTTAGCTTCCACGCTAGCCTTCCTTTCTCACCCTCTTCAGCTCCAGTGGAAAGGACATTGTGCACATCTCTTTATCAAGGTCAGCATTTGCCTAACACCAGATGAGGCTTTTCCTTTACTGAGGCAAGYACAAGCCCGTGGCTTTGTGTGTGCAGGACAGCTCAGTTTGGCTTCATGCTGACGGGCCACAGAGGGCTGGAGATGAGAACAGGAGGAGACTCATGGTGCCTCACACCACCCTGCAGCAAAAGTGCTTCTTGCTGTCAAGGCCACTGTSAGGTTTCAGTATCAAATAAGGCTGTATGTCCACATGAACACTGAGAGCTGGGTTATAAACCAATTTCTGCAAAATTGTGTGAGAGAGCATATTTAGGATTCATTTTTTTTTTTTTTAAACAGGACTTTAATAAAATTCTGCTATTCTCATCTTCCCCTAAAATAATTCAGAACACTAAACTCAAGCAGGAACTGCCCCTCTCCGATACTGAAATTTAAAAATACCTAATATAATGTGGCTTTAATGAACAGCACGTGCAGATCGACTTCAAGATCTATTTACTGTAGAAATAGTTTTAATTGCCTTAAGTATTTTACATAAAGACACAATATATTGTGACAGGCAGTTATTACACTCATTCAACATTGTACAATGCTAACAAAGTCAGTTCGTATTGCTACCTACATTTACGTTGAACTTCACATGATTTACTCTATATTAACCTCTCTGCTACTGTTTATGACTAGTTTGACAAACAAAAGTTGCCAGTTCATATATTGCCAGAATATTAAAGACAGAAAAGCACTAATTTCTAGACTTTATTATAATTTTGTCCTACTTCTCTGTTTATTTTAACAAATTACTGTGAACAAGGTAACATCCATCTTGAGAATTTAAATCAGAAACAAGCTCTTCTCTCCTTACTGCATTTTTTTTCCTCCTACTTAAAGCTATTGCTATGCAAAATCCCACAAGTTTGGCACATTCATTACATTCTGCATATTCACTGTATATAAGCGGGCTATAAAAATATTGTGTAGCAGGAATAAAATTCACTATTGCATTGTTTTTGTTAGAGATTCACTGCCTCACGCAGCTGGTCTCAAATGCTGTTGACCTCCCGGGCTGGGCCTTKAGCCTAAACAAACCTGTTCTGTGCACTCAGACTGTAAATAATTCACATTTTCCAGATCCCACAACAATTTTTTGGTGAAATYGTGTTTCCCTGTCATAAGGTAAATATTAGGTGTGGCTGACATTACATATGCTGTACACAGTTTTACAGTTTCTAAAGAGACAGCTGTATAAGGGACAGAGCAGTGATGCCAGTATTATAGCTATTGCTCCTATAGCTACTCCTATAGGGATACTGCACTGAAGTCCCTGGCTCACACTTCCTCAAGCTTTTAGCTTACTTTAACAACCTTTCATGAGAAGTGCTTTGCACTTACCCTTCACACACAGGCTGAAGTCTTCTAGGTGTGAAAGGAAGAAAGTCCGAATCTCCAGGAGGGGTGACACATTTCAGGCTTCTCTTTCTTCCTCTCTACATACTCGTTTCGGAGGCAATATCCTGTGTATGGTTAGAAAATTGCAAAAAGCTAGATGCTGYCCCAGACTAGTTTCCAAGTGTAAATATAATTTGTAGTGCTTAAAATAACTGGAAATTCTACTCTGGACTTTCAGCTTTATGGCCTTCCCACTTCTCAAGACAACTCTGTTGCTTATGGAAGAATGTAAATAGGGAGCTTTGATATCAGGTCTGGATTTCAAAGGTTAATTCCATCTCTTTATAAGGTTTTGAACTTGTAATGTGATCTAGAGGTGAAAATCAGTGCAGATACATCATTTGACTCCTGAAGTTACAGAAGTTAGTTATATTTGCTTTTACAATTTCATGTATCAACTTGAAAAACAAAATTCTTCTAGCAGCAGTAACTGAGCAGCCTGACAGGCAAGTCAAGCCCAGTGAGAAGCACATGCTTTTTATTTTGCAGGTCAACTACATCACCCTCGCACTAAATCAATGCGAGTCTCTGCACCCCAAGCCTCTGCAAGAAGCCAAGTGGATGGAAATTAGCACTGACCCGGCTAAAGGCGCCGGCATTCCGAGGGGGAGCAGCCCCAGGCACATTTCCAGGTGGGAGATTTCATTGCTCCTCTCAGGCTTCRGCTTACAAAGACCCCAGGAGCCACCCTCTGCAGCCACCGCTCCTTGGAAGGCAGCAGCTCTGCAGGCTCCCCTTCAGGTAGACCTGGATTGGCTTGGAAACTAAGGGAAATGCCTGGGAATTGGGACAGGAACAGCCTCTTAAACACGACCTCGAGTCACTGCTGAGTAATACTGCAAGTAACAACAGGTAGAAAGCACGAGCTAAGCATTCCTCATGGAGTGGCATCTGGCCTGGGTAAGAGGGGAACCAGACCTCCTGCAGCAATTCCTTTTTTGTTCGTAATTGCATTAAGTTTTGTTTTCATYTTGACCATGCTGTTGGCAGGCTAAGTGCTCTCAAACTGCCTTCTAAGCATGAGACTGCCACCCGACAGACAGACAACTCGCAAAGCTCACTGCCTAGCTGCACGTGTGAGGAAGTTTTCTACTTCCATCAGCACCTGTTATCTCTCAGTGTGTCACAGGTTCCCAYCGAGAAGAGCATGGCTTTGTCTTCKTCACACCACAACAGCAGGTACCGCATCCCACCATTTTTCAAAGATCCTAATTTTTGTATATTAATAGTTACAGCTGTCCAGAACTTRCTTGAAAACTTTTCGTTAAAAACAACCTCAAGGGATTCAGCTTCAGTGACCCAAAATGCCTACGTGTCCCTCCATGTGCATATTTACAGCTGAGGCAGATGCTCAAATAGATCTCCACACCGCTAGTCCAAGGGAAAAACGTTGGTAAACCAGCACTCCTCAGAATTGCACCTAGGTGCCTCTACACKCAGTATTGATTCTAGTTCTGGTGCAGTGCTATGCCCAGTTGCAAAAATAGCTAGAGGTAACCCAGGTGGTTTAAACTTGTTTGAAAACGTAAAACCAACTTTCAAAGCGTATTGTTAACTTACGCCTTTCAAAAAAGGGCGTATGCAAAAATCCTTCTCTGAATGCAGCCACCTATAAGTAGCATGAGAGAATCAAAACACAAGCCACTTGAACTCATACCTTTGCTGCAGAGTAGAAATCCATAGAAGAGACGGCTTCAGAAGACCTGGAAGAAAACAATCAGCTTCCCTGGCTACTTAAAACAGTAGAACATGAAACAAGCTTTAAGAGAAGGGTTAGGGAGAAAGTAAACACTCCTCCCTGCTGGCCTCATTAGCAGCTCTAGGTAGTTTTAAATCATTTGATGCTCTTTCCCCTCTCTTTCCGCTTTTGGGGGGGTCCCTTTTCTTAAGGGACTCCCCAAAATCAGATCTCAGAGCAGCTGCAGTGTAGGACACACACTTGCTTTGGGAAGCTGCCGGTGAGTGGACGTCAACGTGGGCTGTGCTGTTCATACTGCAGCACCAGGCTGCAGAACACACCTTGTCTGAGACACAGCCCGCGGCCCTGCTCACACTAACCCACCGCGAGCAACACACCAAGCACAGCCAGGCGGGACTCGCCGCTAAGCTCAGCTCACGGGGACCAAGCCTGAGCATCTTGCCACGAGTGCACACTGTGCAATCCACACGCAAGCAGCATAAAGCAAGCGAATCCAGCTGCCTTTCTGCAACTGATTTTATTACATGTTCACAATACACACGGATACAGTTGGTATCAACATAAATCCCTACGGGACAAGTGCCATAATGCAAGTTATGGCACAGAAACTCGAGGCAAAGTGTTGAGCAGCACAGCATCTAATTTAAAAGAGAAATGCTGTGACAACTTGTGTTACAGCTGTCACTGAAWTTCTAAGAGATTCAGGAGGCTGAAAGTTCACACATCTCCTGAAACACAGAAAAAGCCGCATCCTCACCCACAGTCACTCCATCAGGATAACGTCTAAATTCCACAAAAGACTTCTTTGCAAATTCAGTGCTTAAATCTGCTACATGATTCATATTTTTTTACTGTAAAAAAGCACAGTTAGCAGATTTATTCTACAAATGTATATTGCTTCTCTTTGGGGCAWCCTACAAGCACATTTTGCTGTAGTTTTACACAGTTATTTCAAGCTATTTCAATCAGTAAACAAAATGCCTACATAAGTGTTTAAAGTAATTTCATACACATATCCCAAGCCAGCTATTTGTGCTCTTTATTTCAGAATCCAAAGTGCCAAATACAAGCAGCAAGTTTTCATTATTATGGTCTACAATAAGAATGATCCCATTTACTTGTGTGAATTTATAGAAATCATTATTAAAGCCACAACCCCAATAATTTCAGAAGAGCTGAGAACAGGAATAACACATTTACATTAACTGCACAGCGTGCATGGCCCCCAAAAAGTCTTCAAGCTTCATTTTTAGACTGCTATTAGCTAGTAACCGAATGTACACATTGACAGTTCAACTTAACTCAGAAACCAACTACTGCACTGATATCTAGTTTGTTAACACATAATCAGATCTGAAAATATACAAAAGCTGAAGTTACATGAAATTAAAATCTGGTTTTAAAAAGTGCACAGTAAAAACTGAGGGTAATTACTATATAAATTATCCACAGAGTACATATTTTCTGGTTCAGAGCTGACATTAAGTTCCATTTCATCCGTTACAAATTCTAAATGTCTGAAAGCCACCGACAGCACCAAAACTGCCTTTACCAGACCCAAAAACACCTCTGCTTCCTGCAACCACCAGGAGCTGGACAGGGAGTTGCCCGGATCTGCAATCTGTGCAGCAGCAGCCTCTGAAGATGGTTGGTTAGCTGTGAACTATCGACTTTTGTTCTTTTTAGAGTTTCCCTGGAGYAACGAGAAATAAGTGAACAGAGATAATTCAGATAAAGAAGTTTACACAAACTACAGGTATGTAACAACCTGAGGCCTGGAAGGGAAGGCACTGGGTCACTTCTTGCCTTTKGGCAGCATTTGAAAACCAAAACCACTGCCTACAGTTATTTAATTTTGAACTACTTGCTTAGAGAGTGACCCTATAATAATCCCTTTCAATTCTCAGAAGCAGAAAACCTCCAGAAAAAACTTCATAAAAAACAAAGTGCTAAGGTCAGCATACAGCTAAACGTTTTCCCCTAAACATTAAATAAAATACACACATATAAAAGATTACACACCAAAAAAAACAAAAAATCCAAAAATTTGCAATGCCAAAATCAAACTCAGACATCTAAAGAAAAGCAATTCTGCACATGTGGAGAAGAATCTAAAAATAAAGATGGCTCTCATGGAACCTCTATAATCAAGGCATGGATTTTTACCCATCAGTAAAACCTCCTTCCATACATCCCACAATTAAAGAGAAGAACGCTAGTTTAACTTCACAGACAGATTAGTGAAGGACAAATATAGCTGAAATAATCAGGGTTGAATTTTTGTTTTTGTTAGTTTTTTCTCCTGAAAATCTTCAGGAAGTGATACAGCATGGTTTAAGCAATGACTGCTCCAAGTGGCAGGCTTCCAGTTACTGCATCACTAAAATAAACAAGTCAAAAACTGTTATTGCTGATGAAGATGGTTTTTCCAAGCCAAGAGTCCAAGCATGCATTTTAAAACAATTCACAAGAGAATTAGTGGCAATATTTTCATTTCCACAGGGGAAGAGGCAAAAAAAAAAAAAAAAACCCACAAGATGAACTAGAACATGGAAGTAACACAGGGAGAAAGAGTAACTGTCAAGAGCAGAGTATCCTGCAACCACCAAAGGAGTGCAGGGAAGACGCTCCTACCTGAAAGTGAAGCACAAACACCYGGCACCACTAAGGGGATTTGCAAGTATTTTTTTATTTTCACCASACGGAATAMAAAAAGGGTACATTTTCAGAGCCTRCTTTGAAACAGTGACACAAAGCATCTTGTACTTCAGTGTGTTTTCCAAGAGTCTTTGCTTCACTCAACTATGCAGGACAGTTTGGAGCTCTCTTTCCAACTGGCAGAGAACAACTCCAGTTTGTAACTGGATTTGTAATGCACACATGCCAAATGCAACCACAGAGGCCCAGGCTGCAGTCAGTGCCCAGTGTCCATACCTGCAACTTACCTTACTAGTCATCTTTAGTGTATCAATTTCCTCCCTTTGTTTAGTTAAGGTTTCATTCATACTGCAGAGATGGTCACTCATCATGCTCAACTGATCCTCGTAACTCCTCTTTGTCGTCATCAATTCATCCTACAGGGAGGAGAGGGGAAAGGACAACCAGAAGCATTTGCTTAATATTAGTGACAAACAGCAAAATGACCCATTTGGATTTCCACCTAGTAGTCAAAAATTTTGATGCTGAATGTGTGCAAGTAARCCACTGGGAAAAATAAATAAATAAATCCCTTAACTAAGGAGCTGACAGCTATTTTCTTTTATTTGCTCTCACGCACAGAGCACCCTCCCTCTCACGTGGTGTGACAAACATCCAGGAGGTCTCTTCAATGCAATAAGGCAATTTCTTAGTACAAGTTGTCAACAGGCCTGACAGACACACTCTGCTGGATCCCTTCCTCATAAACAAGGAAAAACTGGCACGTGAGAGCAAACGGCAGCTTTGGCTGCGGAGAGCCAGAGGTACAAAGGGGCATGGCTTTTCCAAGGATCTGTTTGGCAAGATSCCACAGAAAACCACCCTGGAAAGTAAAGGGGTCCCAAAAAGCTGGCTCATCTTCAAGGACAACCTCCTCAGAGCAAAACCAGACCAGCGCTCAGAAAATTAAGCCARCGTGGCAGCAGGCCAGTGTGGCATGCAGGGAACTCTTCATTCAACCTGAGCTTAGTTCTGGTTTGACCACAGAGGGRACTACGTTACCTTCAGAGTTCTCTTCCAAGCTAAACAATTCTCTGGTTCACCATGACACAGGCTTAAATTTAGCACAGGGCACCTGCTAGTCGCTTATTACGCAGTCTGCTGCGTAGTTGTACGTTGCCATCTCATGGTGAGGTACACACTGCTTGTGAAGTTTGTTAAAGGGACAAATCAAGAGACTACTACTGTGTTCTTGAACAGTTTGGGCAGGCATCTAGTAGCTACATTCATTCCTTACATGCAGTGTCTTGGGCACACACTGCCTCAGCAAGCAAGCAATAAAAGTACTAACTCCATAAGAAAAAAGAAGTGAATGCACTGAAAGCCACTGATTTCTATTTTTACATCCTTGACTACTTTTTCAGCTGCCCCAAGTTTATTTTTGCTTATTGAGCCATCCATCCTAAAACAAACCAGCCAACCAACCACTCACCCCCTGGCATTTCAGGAGCAAAGCCTGTCAGTTTTCACCCTGCGTACTGCTAAAAAATAAGATATGACAAAAAAGAAAGAGCGGATGTAAATGCTGCTTGTAKACAGAGCAGTCCTCTCCTCACACAGGAGGGCAAGGCGCTGCAGTCAGGCCACATTCCCACCTTTAAATGGCTACTACTTCTTCTTGAAGAAACATTCCACTTCACAGATGGACTTAAAATGTACTGGTTTAACCCATTTTATGCATGACTTTATAGTTTTTAGATTTATTACTAAGGTCCTAGTAGAGGTATGACCACCCTCTCTTGCCTTCATTTCTCCCCCTCCGTTTCCCCTCAATGCAATGTGCACTTATGAAATGCATCTCCTACGCTGCTTAACATTTTATTACCTGTAGTCTGCTGATGTTTTGACTAGCTAGTTTCAGCTCTTCCGTAAGCGACTCCTTGGACTTCTCTGCTAAAGCCAGTCTTTTGGCAAGCGCTCGGCACTGTCCATCACAGCAGCATAAGCAGAGCAGAAAGAAGAAACGTTAGTCCCAGCAGAATATTATTGTCTAGTGCCAGCTTCAACATCCAAAATATTTGGTTTTCATTTTTTCTGAGTCATACTCCTTACATTTCCTTACACACACAATCCTTACATTTCAAGAAAATTGCTCACAGCTTACGATCACTCTTACACGCAAGGATAACAGTTAACATTCAGCTTTTTGCTTCATTTTACAGAATTGTCTTTGCATTGTATCACTGGTTKGTATTTTTCATGTTATTGCTAGGAAATGTTTCATGCTAAGACATATTTCTCAAGTAAATAGCAATGCAAATGAGTCTCTTATGTTGCTAGAGTATCAGAGAGTTGATTCCTCCATTCCTCATCTAGTCTTAAAAAAAAAAAAATAATTAGAATTTCCCCTGACAATCTGAAGGCCAAGCCAATTTGACTAGAGGGATTAACCACTTACAGGAAGTTACTTGTGGTTTAAGAAGAGARGAAGCTCTGGAGGGAATGAAGCATTTCATTTCATCTTCAAGTTAAAGTGACTTGTGCCTAAAACCAATTTCTCAGAGTCCTCTCTTTATCCCTTTGTGACAATACAGTCAAAGACTTCTGAATAATGTCAGTGCCATTTTAAAATGAAATCAAGTCTAGGTTAGTAATTAAAACCAGCCACTTCACCTTGTATAAATAACTATATGAAACTCACTGTACTTCAATAAATGCAATTAAGACATAACTAAAGCCCAATTTTTTAGAAACTTTCAATAGTGGCATTTTGGTTGAAGCTCAGTTTTTTTTAGAAACTTTCAATAGTGCCCATTTTTATGCACACTACACCAAAGCCAAAAAACATCCCAGAAACAAGTTTTCTGAAACATTACACAGCAGATTCTTAACCTGCTGTCACAATACCTGTCTGAAAAACCTAAGGATTCACCGTTTTCAGGACAGACACTGTGTGCACTCTCACCTCAGCATGAAAGTGCACGGATTTGCTGTCAGCAAGTTGCAAGTGAGATGTAAGTTCTGCTATCCTGGCCATATAGTGGTTTTTTATCAAGTCTTCACGAGACTCATTATCTGGAGCCTGGTAAAGCAAAAAAGACCCATTAAGCAAATGTATTTATATATTGAATAAAACTACATCATTACACCACAACCTTATCATCCGTAATGACTCTTCCCAGTCAAGGTCTGGCTGCCCTATCCAAAAGCTTCATGTTACCCAAAACAACAAATAAGTTAGAGCAGGTAAATGGTGATTTTCAGTGTCAAGCAGAAGAAATTGTATAAAACTACCACATAAGGGTAYACCTTTACCAATTTTTGCCATACCAAACTGCTGAAGTTGTAAGAATTGCTCAGTTTATCACCAAGTCCTCGATAAAGACAGAAAACCACTGCAGAAGAGGACTACATGTACCTAGCAAGAAGCCTGCTGTTTTTCCCCAGCAGGAGCTCCTTCACAGAGCCAAGTTTCAGCAAATTTCAGCAGCCACARACACTGCAAACCCATATTTCCAACGCTGCAGGTTGTCAGAGGGTTGTTTGGACATTGGGTGGTAGTTTGTTTTTCAAACTTACCAGTTTCCTGTTAATTATAGTCACCCTTTAGAAGCAACTTTCACATATCTTCTCATTACCCTAAATTTTCACATTATACAGTAGCTTTTAAGAACCTGCATGTGGTATTACCTGCCGCCAACCTTTCCACAAGTCAGAAGAGGGAACAAAAAGAAAAAAAAAGAAAAGGGAAGAGCAAGGAAATCCAACATACATCAGGCTCCTGCATAATCAGGAGAGGGAAAGAAAGCACTGAACTAGTCAGCTGAACGTGAGATGGGAGTTCATTACACAGAACTCTGAAGCTACTGTCCATTCAAAATAAAATAAATGACTTTCAGAAACTTGCATATACAGACAGTATTTATGACTCATCCCATTACTGTAAATTATTGCAATGTTTTCAGTAATTATCACAATTAAGTTTTAAGAGAGTGAGAATTGAAACATTTAGCATATCTAGTTTATGTTCTACAGATTACCTTTTCATTATCAGTAGTTATAGTCAACATCCCAATCTGGAACAAAGAAAAAAAAAGGTTTAAATGAGAACTGCAAAATTACTTACTGCAGATATAAATCATTTTGGCTACCATAAATTTTTGAAAAGACTTCAAATTTTAGAAAGTCCCAAAAGTTAACACTAATTGAAGGTTTATTAAAACATTGCATGTTCAGGTTTTGCATGCTGTCCATTAAAACAAGCATTTCACCCACAACCTAAGTGACAATATATGGACAAATGCTCTGAGCAGAATTAAAGCTCACAGTAACTATCCAAACTATAAATAACCCAAATAGCATCCTTTGCCTTATGAGGTACATGAGGGGGGGAAAAAAAGCAAGAGATAAGCAAGAGATACGCGAAAAAAGAAAGATATTTCAATGTGCTAAGGTTACCCAGTTTCAAGAGCRAAGAAATTCATCTTAAATTTCCTGAGCATCTTCTAAACTCCTCTTTTTCCAGTAKGACTAATAAATTGCATTGGCAACCTAGTGAGAACTACTATGACTCCAGGTGAGGGTGCCCAGCTGCACAGGGCACATTATGGAGATACTTGTGCCTGAATTTTGCTCTTAGAGTCAGAACTGTTAATCGTTTCTGACTTCCATGAGAGAACAGATTTAAAGGAAATCAGAGTATGGAATGCTGACATGCGACCAATATTACGCCTTGCTGCTGAAACAGAATACACTGCTCCAGTGCCTAGGAACTGAATAAAGCATCCAAAACTTGAGACGTTAGTTCAAAAGCAGGGATTTTCCTGATTTGATAACCAGACAGGAAGAGGGAATTTTTCCTTCCTTCTCTCCATTGAGGGAAAAGAGTCACTTACCAAACTCGTAGTTTTAACAGGCTCCCTCTGACTCTTCTCTATGGACTCCTCCTTCTGCTCAGCTGCATTTGGCAAGACAGAGCGCTCCTGTACAGACTCAGCTAAATGGCCACTAAGAGAGTGCTTCAGTTTCTGGTTTTCTTTCTCGAGCTTTATTTTAGCTAGTTGAGCCTCCAACATCCAGTGCTCTTTTTCCTGTTCAAGTTTCGCAATTTTCTCCAGGCTCTGCTGGACCTTGAGGAAGAAGAATCAACAGTCCAGCTTACCAGACACACAACACAGAAGAACTGTTTGACCGCAGTATTATTTAGAAACAGGACACAGGAGCTAATGGAATAGTGCAGAGGGTAACAGCCACTGATGTGAATTGCAGCCATGAGTACCTTTATGCAGTTGAAAAGGATCSTGTTTGAGTAGACTCTGTGTTTGGACACAATTACAAGCTCAGAGCTGGGAACACCAATTTAGACTGAAGTTACAGCTTGTGAAGATACAGAAGAATGAGAATATTAGAAGAATTGCATAAACTGGAAAGATACATGGGCAGCACTAYGTTGTTGTAGGTTTGAAGAGAAAACTAAGCCACAGGATCCCTCYACCTATCTGCACGTGAGAACTATAGGTCAGAGGCTGGTCAATCCTATCACGTCACACATTTTATTTCTCATTCAGTATTTCATATTTAACATACATAAGACCACTGCAAATCACAGAAGCCTTCTGGGGAAAAGAAATCATTTTCTGTAAGCAGAAAATGATTTTCCTGCTAATAAATACTACACAGTAGAAAATGTAGTCAGCACTGCACATAAGAGAAATGATTATCTTCAAATGCCTTATTCTTGTCTTTATTTTGACTTTACCTCAATTATTAGGTAAAGGTGGCCCGACATCTTGTATTTATACAAGRAGGAGATCAATAGCACAGTCACACCTTTCATAATGGTATGTATAGACTACAGGTCCAGGAGAGCAAATCTTGAATAATTTTACTCTCAAAACCTAAGATACCTCCAGTCTAATTTTAAGCTTTGAAATATAAAGGGAGACTACCCAGTCATGCTTTTCCTTTACAGTCGACATTATTAAATGCCAGTGGAACTTACACCAGCATACCTGCTGTGCGAGGCCTTCTCTGCTTTCCGTGGAGCTCAGAAGAACTCTGCGATTGGCCAAAGCCTCTTCATAAGGCACTGAATCTGAGCAAGGCTGTAGACAGATTAAAAAAAAAAAACCCCTCACGTTTCACAGTAGATAAGAACTTGCATTTTCTGTGACTTCTTTCCTGTCCATAAACCCTTTAGCAAAGGGAAAAAATACTCCAAACTTTTAATATCCAGTAGAAAAATCCACCTTCACCTCCAAATACAGTAATAAAAAAAGCTCAGCACACTCCGTGTGTTACTTAACGATCAAATGCAGTTTTAAGTCAACTCAAAATGAATCACAGCAAAGTGATTTAATGATAATTGTCAAGTAYGTCATCACTTTACAATTTTTAGTGGGAACAGAAGGCAGATCTGATACCATTTAACCCTTTGATTCAGCACATTTTCTCAAGGATACATCCTTTTTTGTTGTGCCTGTTAACCCCCAACATCTTCCAGTCAAAGTACTTAATGAGAGTACAGTATCAATCACTCCATATTCTTAGCAAGTATGGTAAGAATTGTAAATAAGGAACCTTCTTTTCCTGGGAGKCCTGGCACAAAGCTATGGATGGAAGCAGACAGTGGAATCACACATCCTCAGCTGTGAGGGCAACTACATTTTCCAGAACAGTAATTTTCTGCAGAACTTCCTAGTCCCATTTCCTCAKGGAAGGATTTTTCCTTCAGAGGAAAATTCATTCCAAATACTGAAAATCCTTWGTTTGGATTCTTTGACATAGCAGCAAGTGAACTGCACTTTGTCTGGGCACATATGCTATTTGAACCTACCTTCTTCAAAGACTTCATGTAGGCAGCTGCCCTCTTCTTGTACTGCAGCATACACTCAGCTGAAAGAGGGCTGATGAATTCAGTTCCTCCCTTAGGTCCATAACTAAGTGAAGCAGTGAAGTGATCCAAATTGTTGCTGAAGAACGAGGCGATCTAGGCACAGCAAGAAAAAGTACTAAGTGGAAGAGGATTTCACAACAAAAGGCAATTCACACAAGTTATATCCTTCGTATCTTACACATGTATAGACTTTATTAACACAGGATCTTCTTCGCAGTATCTACTCTTATCAAACATGCAGTTGCTTTTAACATATCACCTAGAAATAGTTTAGAATAAACTGATACTATACATTATTAATACCAGAAACAGTGATCACTACATCTCTCAAAGAATATATTTTTTAAAGGCTGCTTAAGTTGAGACACTATATTGAAACAGAGAATACTATTACCTTGCCCACTGCATTTGTTAAGGCCACAACAGAGGATAAAATGCAGTCATTTGTTGTTATAAGCTTCTGCGTGGCTGTTGGAACCTCTTGTTCTAAAGTTGCTTTCTGACTGTAGTGCTTGGAAATGTCTAAAAAAGACAAAAACAGTTATTTCGTTTATCTGTATAATCAGCCATTTTTCAAAGTCAACTTTTCTGGATTTGGGCTTTGAACATTTTCTCTTCTACAAGCAACTGTATAAAACATGAGTCTGGATATTCTTTAACTTTTCAGCAGACTGTCTTGAACATCTGCTTACAAAGCTCAGAAAGAGACATTGTGCACAAAAGGGAGAATAAAAGGGCATATTTTCAAGTGTGCTCAGCATCCCTCAAAACCATAGCAATAAAAGGGAGCCAAAGTTTTAAACCAGCAAATTAATTTAAAAAGTAAACTTGCCATTTCCATATACAGAGATTTCAGGATTTTACTAATTGACTCTTTCCATTAAAATTAGCAACCATCTTAAAAATCAGCTTTTTGGAAGTCATTTACAAAGAAAAGTGGTAATTTCCATACATGAACTTCAGGAGCACCAAAATTAAAGACAACGGGTGTTTATCATGGAAGGAAGAAAAAATTTGTAATTTTGGTCTAGTTAAAAAAAACAAGCTATTTCACAAATAAACTATTACAATAAAAATCTATCGCTACAGAACAAAGAATTCCAGGTTATGACCACCAAGGAAATTTGGTGACAAGTTCAGGAAGCTGGAAATTAGTTTGGGTTGGTGAGGAAGGTCAGAGAAAACAAAAACCAGGCAAACAGCGATGGGAGGCATCAAGCACAAACAGCCTCCTTAGCTAATGATCCCACGGACAGTTTTTTTCCCATCTTTAAGGTGCAAGTTTTGCCTTGAGGTTGTTGAAATTACAGCAACTCTATTAGGAAACTAGAAGGTTATATATAACACTTATCCGTGCTACAAGATTGTACATGAAGAGAGAGATTAAATCAACAACAATAAGCGCCATGCAAAATGGGTAATAATCTTGACTTATTACTAACACCTTGAGGATGACACATTTTATTTAAGTTTATAAAAGCTTAATGTTTGTACAGATGACTAGTATCAAAATGATTCAACTGCACTGAACGTTTTCCCAGGGAAAAGCTAYGTGGGACAGAATATTCTAAAATAAWCAAAGAAACATTAGTATTTTTAATCCCTTTTCCCCTCAGTTTTAAACAAACAATGCTTGACTGAAAGTGTAACATATCCCCATCCTTCTGATAAAAGGAGAGCATAAGCCATTTTCAAGGAGGAAGTTAGAATTTCAAAGTGAAAACTAACTTCTTGGTAAGATTTGGTTGCATATTCATGTTAGAAGAATAAGCTGCCTAAAGGCTGTAAATAAAATCAATTTTGATGGCTGAGACTAGGTCAACAGTAGGGGAAAACATGTCCATGTAAAGGCATTCCGCTCTGCACGCTGGTCCACCACAGCGATACAATGAGGAAACTGAGGCAATACAGCTCAGGGCAACTCCAGAGAGCCACCGTTAAGTCCCCCAGGAACTTGCACAAAACTGGCAGAACCGAGGAGGAAAAACACGCATGGATCACCCAAACAAACAGGGAGCAGTCAGTTTCATTTGCTGTTTTGCCTTTACCCATTTAGATACTGCCATACAGAAAGTATACGTGTATGCATATATTTATATGAAAATAACAAAGGTGCAACATGCCTCTAYTCCATTCCCCTCACCTTCCAGAATGACGTGAAATCCATGAAGACTTGTAGCAATGTTTGTAAACACAAAGCTGTAATTCGTCCTAAGACCACTTTCTGGTTTTGTACCTAAAGAGTCCACACAAAAAGGAAAGAAATAAAGTTAATCATGAATGAAAAAAGTTAGCTCTGAAAAAGCATCCCATTTCTGCCTACTAGAAACACATGCATGGGCTTAAATCTTTAGAACAGAAGAGGCAGATTCATTGATTAAAATTTCCCCTTCAGCATTAAAAATTCTCTACTGAATTTTGCTTACTGAGTAAGCACATCAAAAGACTTCCAAGTTTTTTAGGTTTCATTTAGACTTTACAAATATCCTCAGCAATTTTTGCCTCAGTGATGAATTGAGCATATCAAAGCATTCATTACAGAAAAAAATTCACTGTCCTTCTAAGACTGAAATAATCTGAAGCTACATAACAACTATTTGCTTTTATTTCCAGCATGTATTTGGATACTGTTCCCCACCCAAACATTTGACTTGATTTTATTTCATTATAACCTATYGCAAGTGGCACGTTAATAACATTATGGATAGAGTTGAAAGGGATAAATGATTAAACTTGGTTTCTTAACAATTAAGTGATGACAAAAGATGTAGTGTCAATCATACTATAAAAAAATGTCATTTCTTCTCCACAGGTTTATGACTACAGAAAATGTGCTAAATTGGATTGCCCGCCAGCTTCTAGCTTGAACACCGGCCACATCCATCATCATTCTCTTCCTCCTCAGGAAGTGAGGAGGGGAGAAAATGGCACATAGAAGAAAAAAGTGTCTTGCAGCACACTCAGTGCAGCACAGTGCAGCACACACTGCAAAACTCACCTGCTCCACAGCTTAGCCTGTATCTAGAAATAAGCATTAACCTAATTTTCCTGCATCCATAGATTTTTTTTTTTTTTTTTTAAGGAAAGTTAGCACATAAGCAACACTAGTACCTCACATTCTCAAAGCAATTGAGCTGAAAGAGGCACTTACTTGGTAGAGCAAGGAGACTAATGTACACGTGCAGCTTCTCAAAGACCGCAGTCAGCTTCTTCATGTCTCTGTGTAGCTCCATATTTCTAGCTCTTAAGGCAGCTGTGCAAAGAGAAGACTCACACTCTTCTTCCAAACTAGGAATATACGAATGAGTTAAATAATAATAATAAAAATAATAAAAAAAAACACACAACAGCACAAGCATAAAGAGAAACAAGCCTGTGAATTTGGGCTAGATAAGTTGTGTTCTCCACATCCCAAGCCTGAAACAGCCAAGGTACAGTACTTGAGACAGGTTAACACACTGCAGTAACCAAGCCATATGTAACAATTTCTGAGCACAAGCAGGAGCCTCTCAGAAGCCTCTGTGAAAAGGCAGGACCTCCTGAAGAGCAGAGCTATGTACACCCATGGTGAGGAATTGAGAGCATCAGTTTCAAAACCTTTCCTCTACTGCATAAAGAGCTTCTGGAAGTGCAGAAGAGCTGGAAGTGCAGAAGAGGCACAAAGGAGGCATAAAATAAGCTTTTTCCTTCTCCTTCCAAATACTACTTTGTGCTGATTATTCACCTCCCTTCAAAGCACCCAGGAGCAAAGTTTTTCACTGCACAAAGGAGTGCATCTGGCTTAGTTCACTTTGCATCTCWAGATCTTAGCGTTATCTACATCTCTAGGCAGACTCAGAAATTCAACAACTTCTGCCTACAATACTCGAAAAGTGTCAGTGCTATTGAACAATATGATACATAGTGCCCTTTGACTTTGATCTATTAAATCAAAAGTACCTTTTTAATTGGTACGGAAGAATCTTTCTTAAAAAGCATAAGTACGAAGACAAGTGTTCTGCAAAAGCCTTCAATTTCACCGCTGTTTCCTGGGAGAAAAACAACACGTGAGTATTTTTGTAGAGCAGAGAACTTTCTCAAGGCTAAAAATAAGAAAACCCACCAGCACGGTCACGGTGTCTTCCGTGATGCTCTCGAACAAGTGCAGCATTCCTTCCTCCAGAGGGCGGACGTASGACGCGTTTTCATGAAGATACTGTGAGAACTGAGCACAGGGAGATTTAAAATGGTGCTTGCTGGATGCTTTGGCACAGGGTTTCACAGATTCACAGAATATTTAAGGTTGGAAGGGACCTCTACAGATCATCTAGTCCAACCTTCCTGCTCAAGCAGGCACACCTACAGCATGTGACACAGGGTGGCATCCAGGCGGGTTTTGAAGACCTCCACAGTAGGAGACTCCACAACCCCCCTGGGCAGCCTGTTCCACTGCTCTGTCACCCTAACAGCAAAGAAGTTGCTCCTCACCTGGAGACGGTTTGTGTCAGGGATTACAGGTTTTGTAGGCAGCAACTGAACAGTTCACTTCCACGGAGCACCTTTCATCTCGGGTAACCCCAAGGAGGTGGATTACAAGATGGAAGAGGGAAGTGGTGCAGAGCCACCTCTTGCTACAGGGTAGGCTAACTTGTACCTTGAGGGAGAGCTATGGGGTTCAGCAAAGGCTGTAATGCCAAACCCTACCCTGGGCTTTCCACAGTACCCTGCCTCCCTTCGACAGCACACCAGACCTCTGCTTCTCACACGGAAGGTYTGGCATCCCTCAGAGCTCAGGTACATCCAATTAGGCTGGTTTCAGGCCCCTGTTCAGCTGGCAAAATGAGCTTTCCTACCTTCTTCTCACCTGCTCTTCATGTTGCCCTCTTCTCCTGGGCATCAGCTCAGCCACATAGCACCTAGTCTGGCCTAAATCTAGCAACCAACAAGGGAAGTTTTAATCCCGGTTTCTAGCCCAGTTTGCTGCATTAGCAAGACGTGCTTATGCCAGTGCAAAGGAGGAAGCAGTAACTAACTGAAGGGAGAACTGCTGCTTTCTGTGGCTAGGCCAGGGTAGAGCAAAGGAGAAACCTGGGCCTCAGGCAGCTGTCTGATTTAGCATCAAGTCCCCTGAATAACTTCTGTAGATTCCCCTCCCTCCCCCTCAAAACAATGTGTGCCCGAAAATCAAGCTATTTACTCTTCCATTCAACTGGAATGCAAAAGTAACACCAGCTTTTGACTCTGATACTACAGTACAACAAGAAGCTTTTTTCCACCGATTGACATACAGAGCCAAAAGTAATCTTGTTTTTTATTTTTTCCCACAGGAAGTTACCTTCACCTTTGATTATTTATATTAGAAAAGTAGCTAAAGGTCCCAGGCAAGTAAGGTATAAGTTTCCAATTAATTATGATGCAGAAACACAGCATTAAGACAATAGAAATGCTTAGCTCTCCTTCATGCATGCACAAATCTGGATGGAATCAGGAAAAATTCTTAAGTCTAAGGAGGAAGCACCACCGCATGCAAAATGCTCCTGTCTTGTGCTGCAAGAGGGCTGCAGTTATCTGGTACGATGCTGAAGACCCAAGAGAACCCAGCAATCCAATACTCAAAGAGAAAAGGAATACTTGAACCTGGAAGGGAACTGTCCACATCTACTTTGAGTGTTTGTTGGGGGAAATAGCTTGAAAGCGCCAGACAAAACCTGGAGTTGGGGAAAAACAAATCAGTGCGAGTGCGCGAAGCCACTACCTGACACTACTGACTCATCTGCTCTACTGCATTAAGGGGAGACTTTTTTGATCCACGCAGTGCAGGASCTAAGATCACACCAAGAACATCTGTAAAGCAAGCAGGTAGCCACAAATATAGCGTCAGCTTCGGGGAGCAACAAAAGATGCTCAGCTGCTGGAAAGCTGCAGCGAGCGCCCCGAGCAGCCGGGCGCGCTGAGGCAGCTTCGTTGCAAAAAAGCTGGAGCCAGGGACCACTGCGAGGCCAAAAAAGGCCTGAGCTACTGAATCGGAGTCAATTATGAAAGAGAATTAAATTAGTTCTGATTAAGTTGCAAGTTTCAGCTGTGTAAAAGCACTTTGCTGAAAAGCAATGGGGAGATGTTAATCAGGACATTAAGAATTCAAAAAGTGCAAGAAGTGATGACTAGGAACTCTGATTTTAGCCACTTTGTATAAATAGCATTAATATCTGTAGAATCCAATCACCATGCTAGGCCATGTAGACAAGGAGAGACAGCCTCTGCCCCAAAGAACGTGGAAGATGACAGAAGGGAAGAGGTTTTGCAAAAAGGATGCATCATCTTGAGTGTGTTTAGTGCCAGGAACAAGAAAAGCCTCTTCTTCCTCAAATTAAGATCTATGAACCTCTGACACAGTGTATTCTTTATTGGAATAGCTGAAAGGACTGTGAAGGTAAAGGGATTGGGATTTCTTTAGTGGAAAAACATGTTCACACACGTATTTGTTGACTGCAAAGAGATTAAAGAGGTCCTTCCAAGAATAAGGGAGTTTGGAGATAGTTTACACTGCCACTACACTGGCAACAATCATTCAATGAATGAAAGTGTTCTTCCTGTGACTTAAGCCTGAACCATTAAAAATACTAAACTGAAATAATCACTAGGTTATCGGACAGGTAAAATATGCATAGATCCACCGGGACTATGAAGTCAACAACTGAGMTATCAAAGCAAGTTTATAGCAAAATATACAGATTTGCGCCACGTCTTTGGGCATGAAGTTCTATTTTGTGCTTTGTGGCACAGAGAAAAGTCACAGATGGCATCTTAACAGTTCTGAGTGATGTTCTCAGAGGTATCTTCCACAGAGTTGCATGGAAAGAGCAGAGCCTTTTATAAAAAAAATATAATTTCAACATGCTTTACAGACATGACACTGCAGACTTACAGGAAAGAGGGCAACACAGATAACCCAAAGCCAGCATAAGGTTAGTGTTTGGCAATGGACCAGAAACTCAAGTTSTCTCCTGCATAATCCTACCTTGCACACAGTCGATTCCACTCTAGAGTTAAACACGAGATGTTCTGGCCAACATTTCCCATTCTCCCACTGTGCTTTTATACGAAGTGAAGCATATACTCTAATTATGTATTTTAGTTATATATTTATTTTATAGATATTTTAAAGCAGTCACCTAAACTCTTCATAAATGCAAGTAGCACTTTAAAAAAAAGCTCAGATCTATCATAAATCATATCATYATTGTGACTTTGCTTCTGTAGCAAAGGCACAAGAGAAGAATTGTCTGCAACAAAAACACCCACCCTTGCTCACATTCAAATAATTCACCCAACAGAAAAGTCCTCCCACGAAAGACAGGCTGCCCCCTCAGGGCCATAACTTTYAGCATGTGGCAACAGTAGTTGAAGGAAGTTCCACAATGAAACTGATCTGATCTCKAAGGTCAACATAACCGAGCAAATTTAAAATGGCCATCAGCGAGCCTTACCTTCTGATTTAATGGTGATATAGTATCTGTTGCAGAATCAACAGGAAATATCTGGACTTTCTGTTCAGTGTACGTGTGAAAGTTGAGGAGAGCTGTTACAAGATCCTGAACGAAAGCAAGGGCCTGTCCAGCCAGGTCTCGCAACTTCAGCTGTAAAGACAGTCAGAAAAAGTTATATCTGAGGTGTATCTATTTAAACAAAAAAAAAATTCCATGGGTAAATGTAAGAAAAATAKAATCATCTAAGACTATCTATTTCTAGGCAGTCCCAAAATACTGGGTAATAACTATCTATATCTTTACAAGTAAAGTTTACTCATTTACAACACTATTTGCAATTGTATACATTTCTATGGAGATAAAAACATTTTATTTCATATAAAAGTTAGTAACAGATAAGAGAAATTTCACTT